GGATCAAATTTTGAAACTCAAATTTCACTCACTTCCCGACTAGCTATCAAGCTGAAACTTTCAGGATAGCCTAGAAACTGATGACAATGCAATCTTTTGTGCTTTGTGGCACACTATGAGCAGTTTAATTAGAGTAATTAGAGTTAATGACCGCAACACAGCAAAGGCAACACCTGGAGAAGGCGCGCCAAGTGCAAATGCATAAGAACCCAAAAAATGTCATGGCAGCTCCCACGTTTTTCTTAACTGGCTTTCTTGCAATTATCGTGTAAAAAAATGTGAATTCAGTGCTGAAGTTCCACTGATCTTTAGTTGCAAAACCTCCTGTAGATTGGAGATTTATTTGATGATGTGCCGGCATCAATGTTCAAGTGAAGAGCCGGCTGTTATTCATTTAGCTTGTGTTTGTTATAGGTATGACTCGCTGAGGTTCCTCGGAACAGTGGATTTGTGAGGGTGATACCTTGATAGTAGAGCTTACATCGTGACCAAAGATATGAAAATACTGATAGTCTCGGTGCTGGCCAGCTTCTTCTTCTGCGAAGCTTCGAACTCCTTCAACCGAGTCATCGAGTTAACCGATCGTTTTCTTGAGGTCAAAGGAGACAGCCAATGGCTCGTCATGTTCTACGCTCCTTGGTGCGGTCACTGCCGGAAAATGGAGCCGGTCTTCATGCAAACCGCGCAATCTCTTGCAAACACACCGGTTAGAGTCGGAAAATTAGATTGTACAAGATTCACATCGGTGGCAAGTGAATTGGGAATCAAGGGCTTTCCTACGGTACTTTTCCTGAAAGGGGACGAAGTGTTCACGTTCTCACGTGATCGCACCAGAGAAGAACTAGTTGACTTTGCTCGTCGTCTCTCAGGTCCGCCTGTGAAGTTCATCGATTCATGTACTGATATGCAAGTTGCTTTGCAAGACGAGAAACTGTTTTTTGTTTATGTGGGAGAACGCAAAGGAGATCTTTGGCTAGCTTTTGAAACTTCGGCAAAGCATTTGCAAGATCATCTGATGTTTTTTGCCATTGAGATGGATTGTTTGAAATGGCACTTGAAGGAGGCGAAGTCTCCTGCTGTAGCAGTCTTCAAAGAAGGTGGAAACATCGTAATGCCTCCTATAGGTCTAGATGGTGGCGTAAATGAAACAGTCCAACAATGGATACTTGCGGAGCAGTTTGAAGATTTTGTTCGAATAACCTATGGAAATTTGCCATTGCTACTGAAAACCGGGAAAATACTCGTCCTTGTTGTCGTAGACGAAGACAAAGTAGGCACTTTGACTCACGAAATGGATACTTTCAAACGAGATCTGGAAGCGGTCATGCGGAAGAACCAGGAAGAATTCCGAGAAAAAGTTCAGTTTGGGTGGTTAGCGTCTCCTGAAATTGGAAATTCCATCGCAATAACCACGCTTCCACTGCCTTGTATTTTGGCCGTGAACTCGTCGTCGTACCAATACTTTCTTCCCGAGAAAGAGTCATCGATTCTGGATCAAGAAGAAATTGTGGAATTTGTACGAGCTATCCTGGATTTCTCGTTGGTACCGCAAGGAGGGAGAAGCTACTCGACGCATTTTCAACGTACCGTATTTGAAGCCAGTGTCTCTCTTGGTCAGATGTGGCGTGGGAATCCGGTTCTCACGTCTGTATTGTTTGGACTTCCACTCGGATTTTTATCTTTGATTTGTTATTCAATCTTTTGTGGAGATATTATGGAAGCTAGGGACGATGACGAGGACCAATTAATTGATGACGAGTTTCACGAAAAAAAGGAATGAACAATTTGTCGGTTCTTCCTTGTTCAAGCGCCCACTTCTCTCCCCGCGTTCACTGTTGCAGATGAGGTCTTCCTGAATTCAATTTCAACGCATCTTACACTCTTGAGTGGACATTCAAGCGTGCAGTTGGTCGGTGCATTATTTGTAATTCTACGTAAATTCAAGGAAGTGTGATTTTTCATCGAGTGGAATTCTTTTGGCAGATTCTTTTGGATTGGGCTAAATAGAGTAGGAAGGATTTTGTTCCTGCATTCAGGTTATCTGCGCTTTGCAATTGCTGGTCCTGCGACGGGAATGCTGGGAAAAATTTAGGCAGCTTGGACGAGGAAGTACTGTACCCAATTTCCAGTGTCACATTTGCGGGCATTTGCAATGTAACGTTTATGGTCTCATTTTCTGAGAGGGATGCACGTCATATGTATTTTGTCTTGCATGTTCCTTTTTTATGTCCTGCGAAAAAATAATTTCAACCGCCATCTTGAGTTGTATTCCTTTCCTTGACGGTTGTAAGTCCGGAGAGATGTTGTGATGACTTGATGCTCAGTGAACCACTGGTCATCTCCTCTACTTCTGTCCAACTATGATTATTGCTGATATTGTGCATGAGGTGACGATGCGTTTTCATGGTCTAGTCAGTAATTCGGCATAAAATTGCAAAACATGTTGGTGAATTTCATTCTACACTGATATTTGTGAATAAAAATTTGTCAATGGTTGAACTCTCTTCTGAAGGAATTGATGAGTCGCTCGATTTTATTTATTAATTAACACATTTTTATTAACTCGCTTTCTTGTCTGCTTGTTTGTCCGGATCAAAGTTTGAAACTCAAATTTTGCTCACTTCCTGACTAGCTAGCAAGCTGAAACTTTCAGGATGCCTAAAAACGTGGTTTTTTAGATTAATTTTTTAATCTACTAAATTTTTTAGATGATCTTGTGAAGATTTGTAAGTGACCAAATTTTTGACGCCTGAAGATTGTGGGCTGGCAGTTTTTTTTTTAATCGTGATCTGGAGTTGATTTCAATTTTGCGAGTTGATTTTTGGAATCCATCCAGTGAAAGCATTGTGGCAGGATTCTGCATTTTTTGCTCCTGCTGTGAGCGCGCAAGGATCATTGGGATGTGATAGCTTTTTGTTAAAATTGTCCCTATGAGACACTTGGCTGTCTAAAGAGGAAGCAAAATGGGGAAGGATTCTACCAAAACTTGAATTATCGATGGGGAAGTGTTCAGTTGTTTTCAGAAGTTTTTTTTTCTCTTCGGGTAGTTCAAAAGCCATCTCGCGCGTCGGTGTTGCATTTTCGTTTAGCCATGGGCGATCGAGTTCATTACCTCAGCAACTGAGTGACTTTTTTTCTTTTTACATCATTTAATTGCTGCTTCTGCTCCGTGTGAGTTTTGCGGATCTCTTGATGGGAAAGGTGGATGTTTTGGCGCGTTGCCAGTTGATCTATGTTGGATCTATGTTGGAATGTGCAAAGAAAATGAAAGAAGGAAGCTCTTTGGGAATGGAAAAAATGTGAAAAAACAACCAAAAAAATTTGATTCTGTGAGTGCGGGGAGGGAGATTCTGGAATTTATCTGTGCCTCTTTATATTTTTTTTGGACATCTGCGCCATTGCAAGTCATGGACCTCTGAAGAAATTTTTGCTTCACGTTTCTTGGACATTCGTCAGTCTCCTGGGCAATGAAATATTGTCATCAAAAATCTGGACCTCAAAGGGCCCTTTTCAGGGCCCGCTACCGTTATTTGAAGCTTCGTTTTCCATCATATTATCCTGAGCTGCGAGTTGTTGTGGAAAGTCTCGGAATTTTGGCTTAATAGTCTTTGAGTCTCCCGCTCTGCGATGTTCTTGTGCAACTCGCAGATGCTGTGAGAGACTTGGATTGTTTTGTTCAAAATTTCCTTGGTTCTCCTACCTTGCGCTCATGAATGATCCTCTTATCTCCGATCATCCTGGTCACGCGTCGAAATCATTTTTATGTACAGTAATCTTGTGATTCAGTGGTCTTTTTTATAGTGATGGGACAGCAGCAAATTTCAAGACTTCCTAGGAAATCTCTCAAATGATCGCCCATGGCGTTTTTATCTGCATCAATAGCGATTACAGAATCTGCAACGTGCGTGTCACGAACTCCAGTCCGGTGAGGTAAAATTGAATTAAATTTTGATAATTGCTAACTCAAACTGTCAACTAGAAAATATTTATCTATACCCGAGATTGTCCTCTTGTCAGTTATGCCTGTACTTCATTCGTTTATCTTTGATAATGTACTTACTCTGTAAGGCTTTGACTGATCGCATATTCTAACCGTCGGCGTCTTAATTTTCACATTTTATATTCAGGGGTGCTACCGTAAGCATGCTTCTGTGCAGGACCTGCCGTTTTTGATGAAAAATTATTTGTTTATTTAGGTGGACTCTTTGTGCAACAAAATTCAAGGGGCCAGAAAGAATTTGTTGTGGAGTACACCCATAACATGTGGAGAAAACCCTATCCTTTAGGACCAAGCAAGAATTTGTTATACAGAGAAATTTGTTATAGAGAGAGTCCACCTGCAATGAAAAACTGCAGAGCAACAGACATAATGCATTCCAGGGACTGACTTGTTGCTTGTAATTTAGGAGTTTAATTAAATACTGGATTGCCACTTGACATTTTTTCTTCATCTGTAATGTCAACAGAAAGAAGAAGGCATGCCACGTGCTGTAGTATTTCAAATTTTGAGCATCTTCAATTCTGTATTGGTATGGAGTAAAAAATTTTCACAAGAAATACTGTGGCAACAGAATTTCCAGTATAACACATTATTTCTCAAGTCCTGACAGGAAGTCCAGGGAGTGCATGTTGAAGCAAATTTCATAACTAACTTCCCAATTTTCAGAATAACAACCTGAATTTTCCGTTGATTCTACAGCAAGAAAATGGATGCTAATTTAAATGGAGAAAGTGGCCTATTCCTAGTAGAAGATGAACTAATCCATCATTTCCATGTTGTCCTCAAGTTGTAAGGAATTCCAAATGCGCAGACGGTTGAAAATAAATTGCCTACTGATTTTTTTTTCATTTTCTCCAGGCAATGGTGACATGTTATCTGAAGGAATGAACTTGTCCCTGGAAAGGAAGTTACAGTGTTGATCTGCTTCTATGATGTCATATTCGGGAAGCTGCTGTGACGTTTTCTGCCAAACCTGGATTTTGAAAGGATTGTCCTTGTAGGATAGAGAATGTTTAGAATTATGGACAAATTGAAGTTATCTGATGAATTTTGCTCAAGATGATGCTTCCGAATTTAGGATGAGATCTCTCCATATTTATTCAAGTAACTAAAAAAATTACTGAGACAATGTGGTGTGCATGGAAATGCGGGTATGATTTTTTGTTCCGATTTTGTCATGCCTCTCTTTTGTATATTTTTGAACCAGAAATATTTAGTATACTGTAAGAAACCGAGAGGTACACATTTGAACCGAGAGGTACACATTTGAACCGAGAGGTACACATTTGAATTTAGACTCAACAGAAGTATGAATTGAAAAGCTTCTACAATGAAGTACTAGGGGATGTTGAGACAGAATATTGAATCATTCTTTTGACTCAAAATTATTTTTGATTGATGGCATTTTTCTGAAGTATCCAAATTTTTGTACTGGATAACTGGGATTTGTATTACTCAAGTAAAAACTGTATAAAGTGATCTGAAAATACAAAGCTGATTTTATGTTCAACTAGAACATTGTCAATTTTTTTAAGGTTTATGGTCTTTTAGGAAATTTTATGATGTAATTGTGAGGCAATTTGGAAAGTTATCTCTCTAATAAGGGGGCACTTAATTATACAAGTTAAATGCCTCCTTAATATAAATGTTGCATAATTAAATGTTTGACTCAAGAAACACTAGATTTGCGTATTTTTGTGCATCACAGGAAAGATTCAATCTGAAATCTGCATCGATTATTTTTACTTTGTCTTGTTCGCTTCATAGTTGTGTCGTGGTAACTGATTTGATTCTTGTAAATTCTGAAACTTTTCGAAATGCTTGTGCTGCTCAATTGGGTTCTATGAAAATGCGAAAGAAATGATCATATGCGTTCAGATCAATTTAAAAATGAAAATCTAGCGCATTTTCTGATTGTTTCCAGGTATTTTCGGTGCTTTCTTTGTGGCAATGGAATCGATTCAAAATGTAATGTATCATTTGCTGCTGGTTCCAATGACCATTCCTGTTTTCCTGCTCTTCCGGTATTTCTCATGGCTGGGATACGAGCTTTTCATCAACAATTGAAGGTACTTATTCCGCATATGCGAAATTTCTTTCGCATTTTCCCCCATCCTGATTTTCTGTTGAAATCTTTTAATCAATTTCCGGGGAGAAATCGATTTCATTTCTTTCGGAATGGCGATAACGTTAAAATATGAAAAGATGAAATTTCCTGTCGTGGCGTACTGTGCGGTATGATTTTTCTTCTTAGAACTGATCTGTTTCTTGGGTTTTTATCCGGGAAATTGAAAATGCCGTCAGGGATGTTAGATATACTTTTAATCAAGGAACTTTTTTGTGTTCTGTAGAATGTTTGATGCTTCGGAAGAAATTTCAAATTTTTTTCATGTCTCTCAACCACGTGCCCTTCGTCTACGCGTCTGTTGAATACGCTTGGAGAAAGCCGAGCAAATGCTACATTCGTCAAGTTGAGAAACATGTCTAACTCGAAATCCTCAGAAATTTTGATGAATTTTTCAATTCTGAAATGCTCGAAAACTACGGTATTTCAAAACCGGAGAGTGGTAAGACTTCCGTAGCTTCGCAGAAGCAGATTACGTGCCGTGAAGTGGAAAGATATGCGTCCAATATACACTGGCTAAAATACTCAACTTAAATTTGTTCTTTTCAAATGCGAAGGAATGTTTCTCTACATGAATACGAAATTATTGCGGTTCATATTGTTGATGATTTTAAACATATCTCTCCCTCTCTGTTGTAGGTATTGTGTGCCTTGAATACCTTTGATATTGTCTCCGATGATCGAAGAATCTCGAGCTCCAAAGAAAATGCGGAGAACGCTTCTCATCTCGTTCGTCATCCAATTGCAGCGCGTGTATTGGGTTTGTATTTCTCGAGTTTTGTGGCATGCTCCTTTCGAATGTTCTGGAATAAACCGAAGCATTATATAGGCGATTTCTTATACTCGTAATACGTCATGATGGTGGAAAAGCTGTGCATTCAGGCGTGCGATGTTCAGTCATGCAGGAATGGACGCGCTGAACATCCGTAAACCGAAATTCAGGATCACGCGCGAATGATCTCGTTTACTATAACCCTTCTCACATCCTGATGACGTTCTTGCTGAAACGCGTATGTTCTGAAGAAGCCGATGAACATGTTGAAATCGTATGAGAATGATGTGAGAGCAATACGCTGAAGGACGTGCATTATTTTTCATGGACATTGAATATAGAAACGGGAAAGGTGTACCACATATATCGCACCACCTTATTGTGCGTTGTTCAAATTCCGCCTGATGGTTCAAATTTCCTGTCAACTCATTTCGTTGGCAGTTTTAGGCCAAAAAATCACACATTTCAGTTTCCTGTATCAATTCTTAACATTGTACCGATGAATCGCGTTCGATTTGTCATTATTGTGAAGTATCATTCTGTCAAATTTATGTACGCCGTACTTCAGTTCGCAGAGGTGTTGACGCGCGTCTTTTTCTGGTGTCTGATGTGCTTCGGTGGAATATTCCGGCGGTTGATGATCAATACAAGTGATATGAAATATTACGCAATTAATTCCTACATTTCTGCATCAGAAATTCGAAATTTCTGATGTAATTTCGGGTACTTGTTTTTCCCTATTGATGGATGAACGCACCTCATGATTTTCGAGTTCAGGGATTTTCTCATGTCAGGGGAGTTTTGGAGGCCCGACCGATCATTCATGGATGATTGATTTTTTCCCCATCGCAGTCCGTGCCGCACGCGTAAAAATATAATGAAATGAAAAAAAATCATGCAACAGAAAAGCGCTCATTTCCGCGTCAGCTGTTCAATTTGCCTAAATTGTTCACTTCTTGATCTAAAAGCCGACTAATCCAGTCTTAATTCATGGAAACTGAGCATTGAAAAGTCAGATTACCGCTAATGCATTTGCTGATGGCGCTCATATTACATAGAACAAAGGTGCCCCAATAGGATATGGATGTATACATAATGAGTACTTAGCAGACAGTTTCAATTATTGTCAGATGCATCTGCTTTTGAATCTTTTTTTTTTCTACGGACCGTAATGAGATTTATTTTTATGAAATCTTACCTCTGATAAAAGGTGGAAAAATTCCTCCAAAAGCTTGAATTTCTTTTTAGGCTTTAAAATGTGTAGTAACTCAACAGAGGAAAGCCACCCACAATCAGCCCTTTATGTTAGAATTAGTCCAAAAGACCAGCACAAAAATATATGGGTTTTTATGGAAAGGAATAAGTGAAAGACGTATTTTAGGACGGATGAACCCTCTTATTGTTCAGCATCCTGTCAATTCATTTATTTGGCAGTACTGAGTATATAAAGTTTAAAAAATCATGCATTTTATATTCTTTTAAATCTTATTAAATACAGTAAAGTATTCATTTCCTGGGAAAATTGGCTGTTTCCATAACTTTAGAAACCTTGCCATATGACAATTGTTTTCTGGATGGTCTCTTTTTTGTTGAAGTTTGAATCTTATTGGAAGGTTTAATAAAGTCTTTTCTTATATTAAAGAGGTTTGACCAAACTGTGTACACCTTAGCACGCTTGAATGACAAAACCTTAAAAAGAAAATTTAGGAAAATAAAATAATTTAAAATAATGAGCTTTATTTTGATTTCCCACGGCACTTATTTATTGGCAGAAGCCCAATTTGCTCAAGACATGTCAACTTTTCAAAAATTATTCATGCATAGTTGTTTATTTTTTCTGGAGATTTTGGCAGTGTTCACACAGTACTGTATCTTTAAATAGTTTACTGATATTGAGGAATATAAAAGTGGGCATTAGCGCTTCATTGTCCTCATTTTGGGCATTACCTATCTCAGCATCAAAGCTGTAACTATATGAAAGGTTTTTATGCTGAATACTCTGCTCTGCATAGTTTACTGTAAAAAAGCAATATTTGCCAAAGCTTACGATGTGTAAGTATACTGCATGGATATAAATTGTCGTGATCCCGCGCTATCACAGAAGTTGCAGATGAGTGACTTTGTGTTGAACACTGAAGTCATGCACGGACTCCAGCAGTACTTTTACCCTGTATTTTACTGGCGTAATCATTGTTAAATAAAGTACTGCTGGATCATAGCACTTATACAGGCACGTCATCATTGACATGATCAGCAATATGTAATATGTTCATATATACTGTATTTTAATTGATTGAGCATGGCATGCAGCAGCAGAACAAATATTTAGTATATTCACATTCGATGTGATTGAATGAAAATGTTATGGATTTTATGGATACAGAAGTTGGTATCTATTAGTTGCTCGAATCGAAAAGATGAATTTTAAAAATTGATGAAATTTTTAGAATCTCGATCTGATGACGCAAGCACCGTACAGTGTTCAAGATCTTCATGTGCATGGATTCCTCAAGACTTTGGATGCGTTCTGTGCCTGTTGACATCATCCTTCTCCCATGGCGCTGCCAATGGCCACACGCTTAAAGGCCGCTGAGGTGTAGAGATGACGTTAGCCAATCGATAGCTGAACTTGAGATTGTAATTGGTTGATGTGGAGCATTGTTCTTGTACCTGCAGTTCGGAATGACGTATGCTCATAGACTCCGTTGTCTCTGTGGTCAAAAAAATGTCTGACGTGACAAATCGTCTCGGGAAGATTCGTGAGCCGGGTGTGAAACCGGCAGATCGCGTGTTGAAAGTCAGTGTGAACCAGCCGACGATGTGTGCGATAAAGCCATGCGTGGCAGTTATTTTTCGCGCTAGTTTTTCAGTGTCATTGAGAAAAATATGCCCATTCCTTGAAGCGACTAATAACCGCATTTTTTGCATCATTAATTTAAATTGAGTCTCCGTAATTTAAGTTCGATAATCTTTTTGCCTCCAGAAGGAATTTTTTTTTATACGTGACGTGCTCTCATCCAATTTATTTTTGAAAAAATTAGAATGGCCTTCTGATAGTACTGTAGTAATATATCAGGTGCCAAACGTATCTTCCCTAACTTTTCCCATGAAGATGAGTGTTGCAACTCCTGTGCCCATCGATTCAATTTTGTTCGAAACAATTTAATTCCTTTTTCGAAAAAATTCCAATCGAATGATTGCGTTGGACAAAAGGACTTAGTCTGCTAATCTCAGTATTTCAATAAATTAAATTAAGTTCACCGTCGAGTATGAAAGGGCATAAAATATAGAGCAGAATAATTTCCAATTACGTACCCGATTTAAGAAAAGGTTTATTCGATTCACTACGGTGATTCATTTTCTATATACATTGTTCAAATGCTATTTCTGCTTCACTTGTCTTCATACTGCAAATTCTGCGCTTTTTCGACTGTTCGGAATGGTTCGTTCAATCAGCAGGCAATTTCATCGAATTTGATTCGCAGGATGTCTGCGCCTTTATCATTGACTATTTTCTGGGTTTGGGCCGTGTTTCTTGTGCATTCTGTGAGCCAGCAAGATGTGCCTGGGAGGAAGTTCGAATACAAGTTTAGCTTTAAAGGACCATATCTCTCGCAAAAAGATGGATCTGTACCATTTTGGCAGTATTCTGGAAATGCCATCGCAAGTGACGAAAGCGTGAGAATAACGCCATCGTTGCGTAGTCAAAAGGGCCAGATTTGGTCTAAGCAGAAAACTGATTTCGAATGGTGAGAACATAATTTGAATTATACCGTATTGTTTTGTAAGTTCTTGACAGAAATAAAATGATGTCGTTTATTTTCAGGTGGGAAGTCGAGCTTGTGTTCAGAGTGAGCGGTCGTGGGCGAGTTGGTGCTGATGGATTAGGATTTTGGTTCACGGAAGCCCGGGGTAGAGAAGGACCAGTTTTCGGATCTTCCGACGCTTGGAAGGGTTTGGGAATCTTTTTCGATTCCTTCGACAATGATAATAAGCACAATAATCCTTACGTGATGGCTGTCCTCAACGATGGCACTATGCGATTTGATCATCAGAATGACGGTGTTACTCAGCAACTAGCCGGTTGTCTCCGGGATTACCGAAACAAACCGTTTCCCGTGAGTTCCTATTTTTTTACCGCGCATTCATTTTGAGTTGACGATGTAGACCACCCAATGAAATCAACTTTTTGAGAAATAATTGCGGCATTTTCAGGACAATTAACATTCATTGAATTCGGTCTGTGCACTTTCCACCAGCAGGTTCTCACAATCGTAACACTCGTCTCGTATCAACGTGTTGCCGACTTACGATGTTTGATGTTCTGATGGAAAATTTTAACCTTCCAGATCCAAGCAACGAATAAGCGTAGGCATGTTTTATCACTGCTTTTTACTCAGTTCGAGTGGAGGAGGAATATCTTGGGAGTGAACGCGGCTCATTAGGAGAATACGTGTCAATGTGCCTATATTAAAATGTCTGTCCTTTTTTTTCAGGTGCGTGCAAAAATTGAATACTTGCGAAACGTGTTGACGGTGCAGATCCATAATGGCATTACCAACAATCCGAATGATTATGAAATGTGCTTCCGAGCCGAGAATGTTCATCTTCCCCCGTCCGGGTACTTTGGAGTCAGTGCGGCAACAGGGGGTTTAGCCGATGATCACGATGTTTTAAAGTTCCTCACGCATTCCCTCCATCCCGGCATCTCTTCCAATCTTCCGCATGGGCAATTATCCGAAGCTGAAAAGCACAAATTGGAACAGGAATACGAGAACTTCCAACAGAAACTTGATTCGGAGCGGAAAGCCTACCATGAAAAGCATCCGGAAGCGAAGAAAGACGAGGGACACGATTACGAATGGTTCGAAGAAGAACAAACGCGTGAGCTGAGGCAGATTTTCCAGGGCCAAGGCAATATGATGCAGGCTTTGCAGGATTTGCATCGAAAAGTGGACGAAATGATTGGACGATCGGATCGTGCTTTAGGAATCCTGAGTCAGCAAGGCGTCCCACAGGTGAAATACAGTACAGTATACCAGTGTTACCCAACCTGTGGTCCGTGGACAGGTGCTGGTCCACAGAAGTTTTTTGCTGGTTTGCGGGAAATTTTCTGCAGCATAATAAATTCATGGAAAGTAGCAAGGAAGTCTGGTACAGTCAAACCCCAATGAGAAGCCACCAATTTGTCCAGAGCAATTTTTGAGGTTTAAAGGTGTTGGCAGTTCATCAAGTATGGTATTTCATTTTAAATTACAGTTCAACCTCTCTAAGTCGAATTTCTAGGGACCATGAAAAAAATTCGACTTAGGGAGGTTTTCATTTTTTGAGGTTTCCAGTTGAGAAAACAAATACTTTTGTTGTGAGAAGTGAAAAAAATGTGGGAAATCATAAATGAAAATATTCTGGGGTACACCTTGCTGAACTTGGAGGCAGGGGTTCATTTGCTATACAGTATTTGTCTTTCAATTCCTTTCAAGATGCATCAAATTATTTGTTTTAATCATATCTTTCACATATTTCAAGAAAATAATGACCATAAGGCCTCAGAAAATTTGACTTACGGAGGATTTATATAAAAAAAGACTTTGAGTTAAGGAGGTTTTTTGATGTATTGATACTAAGGGAATTCAGACAGGGACTTGAAAAAAATTAGACTTGGGGAGGAATTTGACTTGGGTAGGTTTGACTTATCAAGGTTCACCTGTATTTGATCAAAAATACTCAATTTTCCTCCATCAGTCCTAGAGATACAGGTTTTCTAGAAACTTCAGTAATTTTCCAGAGTATTGCTGTGATCAATTGATAACTCTTTGAAAAAAAAAATCAATTTTGCTGCATAAATTTATTCAAAGTGTAAGATTAGGTCAATATATTCAAATTTTTTCAAAAAAATGATTATTATTTTTTATTCTTACAAATACAAGATTCTTGACAGACATTATAATTCTACCCCAATGTTGGTGTTGTAACAAAGACAAAACTACTGTAGTAGGAAACAGCACTTTTGTTTCATCACTAATGCTGGCGGATGGTGGTTGGCATCTTATCAAGGTTTTCTATAGAATTTAACATGGAGGAGATTTGTTTCATTCAAAATTTTGGTGGTTGTTAAGGGTGGTGCTTTATTGGGGGTGTCTTAACTGGGTTTGACTGTATCTTTATCTGAAATTCAAGAAAGATAAAGGCTATTGAAATTATCTGATGAAAAAATAAAAGTTGGCTGTTCTTCTAGTAACACTTCCAACAAGCTTTCACCTGCTGAAATAAATTATAAAAATTTATCATTCTGAGAAATGTTTCTGCAAGCCCACCTTCCTAATTTTTTGAAGACATTTCACTATGCCTGCACTTGATTGGCTTTTAACTGAATTTCTTTAAGAAAAAAAAAGCAAAACGATTTTAAATGCCTGCCATGAAGTTTTTCAGATAGAAATTTTTGAGTCTTCAAACATTCATGGAATTTCAACAGTCTTCAGAAAATTTTATGGTACATTTGCCAGTCTGCAAAATTTTCTAGTCTGTAAACCCAAAATGGTTTTTTTTGTGCACATAAACCAAAAACATCTGCGTCATCATTTTGTGAGTAAGCGGATGGGGAGTATAATTTTTTGGTGTTGTTGATCCTTGAAAGTGCGACCTGTAGGAAATACGACAAGAAATCAATTAACTTGAATTATTAAAATCGCTGGAACAAAATGAGCGCTTGTCACGTGACCGAATGCTATTTCTTCCTTTGATTGCAGTCTGAAAGAAGTACATTACGATATTACGCTAATTTCGACGCTATTAGAAAGTAAATAAAATTCTGTGTCAATTGTTTTTGAAGGGTGGAATGGTTCCTCCTCCTGCTGTTGGAACGAATGTCATGCAAAGACACGAGGTGGAGCAACTTTTAGGTGCAACCAGGGAATTGTTGCAACTCGGACGGGATATCAAGGCATACACTGTCGAGATCCATCAGAAATCTTCCGAGCTCATCAACAACCAGGCGAGACAACCAGTTGGACAAGGATCAGTGCAGCCAATTGGCTACGATGTTCACGCAGTTATGAATGAGGTTAGTTTCCGAGCTGCAATTTTTTTTCTCATCAACTGCCAAATTTCCCCCCATCTCCTTTCTTCTTGATTCTACTTCACTACCTCCAAGTTGAGCTGCAATAGTTTTAATTTTGAAGCCAACATTTTTAAAAATACGGTGAGACCCCCAGATGTGGATGTAATTGGTGCATGAAGAGTGTCCCTGAATCAAAATGTTTCTTAAGTTGAGTCTGGTTTTCCTGTAGACTTACATGATATAATTTTTGTCTTATGGAAGAAATATTCTTCAGAATTCCATGAAAAAAATTGTTTGCCATTTGAATTTGATTCCGTGATTATCTTTTCACCTCAATAAAAAAATTTGGAGCATTGAATAGTGTACCTCTGTGCAGTACATTGAAATGTTGGCATCTGTAAAAATAACATTCAAGTCACAGAGAGAGAAGGAAGTCCCTCTATGCTATAGGTAATTTTTTAAATTAGCTGAATGGATGGAAAATGATGGGAGAAATACCAAAGAATTTTTCTTGCATTGATGTTAAGGTTTGAAATATGTGTTTCTTGCAATTAAGCTTAAAAGTCAATTTTCCTGAAATTTATTGGCAATTTTATCATGCAATGTCCACATGTTGAGTCAGTTTCTGTATGTCAAGCCTTTTTATGCCTTTTTTTATTGAAGAATAAATGTCTATATGTCAAATTGTCCTCATGTTGAGGTGTCCGCATGTGGGGGTCTCACTGTATTGAAGATTTTTGTTTGATCCCCAAATGGGGCTCATGACAGGTCCCCACCTCATCACATAATACTGTACTGAATTATTGAAATTAGCAAGTACTGTACTTTTCTTGCAATTCCAAAATCGTTTTAATGTTGAATCAGAATTTGAGAGTTGCTTTCAGAGAACTTGGTCCTGTAAATAGAAAAATGGATAAATTCTATCATCTGTCTCATGAGGTTTCAATTTGTAGGTAACTTCTCTGTGGAGTGCATCAATATTTCTAAAAAAATGTTGGTGATCCTGTTTTTTTTTCTTTCTTTGCTTGGAACAAGCAGGGAATGGGTTAACTTTTGCTCATGTTTTTTCTTCTATTTTTTCTTTTCAGTTGAAAGAAAGCGTGCATTCGTTGAAAAGAGACCTTGGGAAAGGGTCTGTCGCTCCCTGCGACGTCAGTCAAATCAAGTGCTTATCCGTTTCTTTCTTCTTGATGCTGTTGGTGATACAAACCTGCGCTTTGGCAGGGCTTTATGTGTGGAAATCTTCCAGGGAAAACAACCTCAAGAAATTTTACTGAAGCGTGTCTCGGCAACCCGAAATTTTCCGTGTTCATCCAGTCATTTCCCTTTTTTTGTTGTCGAAAATCGGGTGTCCGGAGAATGATTCTTTATACATATGTATACCATGAAAATCACCGACTTTCCTGGTGCTGTGACGTGTTTCGTGAATCCGTGTGCCGGAAGCTGAAGAGTATCTCTCTTGATGAAGTTTCTGGTCTGACAGAATGGAGGAGATGGAAGAGAATCGTTGGCTTCCCTGGATAGCTTGAAAAAAAGAAAGGTTTTACCCCGTTTCAAAAGTGTGACGAAAACCTGCGTTGAAACTCGTCGGATTTTTTTTTTGCGTTATTCTTGCTGGTAAATTCTAAATTCGGGATGTGATCACTTTGAATCGCGACTGCCCTTGAATATTATCAGGCTTTTTTCTTCTAAATGACACTTGTATCGAATCTTTCAGAATATCTGCGGTTAGGAGAAAAGAGAGAGAGAAAGAAAAAAATGAGTACAAAAGGTTGTTTCGGTGAGTGAACGGACGTTTAAATCCTCGCGTATTCGTTCCGACAGCTGCAAACTATCAAAAAATCTCATTTTAATCATCGCATCTCCTCGAGCTTTTTATGGAGTCTTATGAATGATTTGTTGATCATGTGTATGGTGCGGAAATAGGTATTCCCCTATTGGCACAAAACGGAGAGTCGCTCTAGTGGTTTAATGTCTAATGCCATTACCTTGATGGGGGACGGTTGTTGATTTTATTTTTATTTTGGCAATGTGAGTACCGTATTCACTTGACCATGGGCCGCACTTTCCCTGCTGAAACTGTACTTGGTGTGGCCGATATTTTTTGTATAGGCCACTTTGTCTTGGAGGATTTGGCATGTATTCAATGTACAGTGGGTCCTTGAGCAACGAACCTCTAGCATAATTAATTCACGTTTGACCACCATTTTGCTTTCGAAAACAAGTGAAAGAAGAAAAAAACAACCTTTTTTAAATTCAAGAATTTTAAAAATGTAGAAAATATCATTTCATAATAGTAGATTTTTACATGAGAAGCACAAACTGTAATAAAAAGTTGAATTTAAAGGGAAATCAAAATCCTGAGGGAATTTGAATTTTCTTCCTGCTTTTAATTTTTCATTTTTTTAAAATAATTCTCAATTGAAACTGATTGCTGAATTTTCTTCAGTACCATGTGTGCACTTTAATTCTCAAATTTGAGAGGAAAAAGTGTCAAATGGGGGTATACATTTTTCAAAAAGTATCAAGGTGAGCATTTTACAGGAGTCTAATGGGAAGTTTTGGACCAATTTTAATATAAAACTTATTTTAATGGAAACAATTGAAAATTATTCAAATTTTTGTTCAATTCATCTCTGAATTCAAAATTGGGTGTTGTTATTTTTGAAATATTGTGGTTTGAGATTCAAAAAAAAAAAATTTGGTACCTGTCTTGCTTGAGTATAGGATTTTATTGCTTTCCCCATTGAAAAACCCTGGTGTCCTTGTGAATTTGTTGGTTACAAATTTTTGTTTGTATTCTTGTCTGTTGAATTTGTGATGCTCATTTTCTGTTTATTACCTTTATAATAATTTTCAATGAACTGGAACTGTTCAGGTTTTGTTGCTCAAGGCCCCCACCGCCATGTTGAATTTTATTTCCTTTGTTTTTCCTCTGTGTCGAAAGTTGACTGTTCGTGCAATTGATGACTTGCCTACTGTTATTTCAAAGTAAGGTAATCTTTGTCTCTTGAGATTTTGTTTGTGAAAAATCAACTTAATATGCGAATTATGTTTATTTTCCATGCATAGGCCGCAGCTTATTTTACGTGAACCAATTTTGTTGCCTCTTTGGTCGATTAAATGCGGTATTTTTCCTTGGTTTTAATGTTACGCGTGCGTGTGCAAGAAATTTTTTTGTCCATCATGGATCATTTATATTTTTGTTTCTTTGCAGCATCTAAGAATGAATTTCATCCGCATTTCGATGGACGAAAGTTGCTCTGTAATATTGACGACATTTTTTTTTGTGCCTCCTGTCGTTCGGTTTTTTTTGAAGAGAGTTTTATTTTATTTTGTGAAATCGGAGTTCGTTTTAACGTTTGAAAAATTCCAGTTGCATTGTGATCGTGTTTGTTCATGGGGGAAGGTTATTAAGTGTGGGGGTTTCTGTGTGGAACTGGAAAAAGTGATTCGCTCTATATATTACTATTTTTTTTTCCATCTCCTTGGTTCATGGATTCTTTGGCCCGAGGATATGTTTTTTGTTCAGGCGGTCCGATGAAATTCACGAGAAGAAAAAAAGAAGTTACTTTTCCTTGTTTTCATTCTTTTCCACCTGCTTTCCTGCCGATTTCGTTTTTTGTTACACCTCGGATGTTGAATCTTATTGTTTCCTCCCCGATAATTTTATGTTACTGTCAAATCTCGTTACAACGAAGCTGTTGGGTTCACCAGAAAACTTGTTTTGTATCAAGAAATTCGTTATAAAACAATTTAGATAACATTACAGTAAAATCTTGTTACAACAGACTTGTGGGATCTTCAGAAAAAGTTCGTTATACTGAAAAATTTGTTGTAGTGAGATTTTATTGTATTGATATTGGACAGGGACCTTGAAAGCAAATTTTTGTAACCATAGTAAGTTGTTAATATGAGATTTCTTGTAGTGAGATTCTACTCAATGAAAGGATTGGTTGAAAAAGCTTCATTATAAAAGAATCCTGGAACAAAAATAGAAGTAGAGTTACATGCAGTTATTGCTGGACATCAGGTGCCTAAAGAAATTTGTTGTAAGCATTATTTTGTCAAGATGACAAGATTCACTGCAATGAGATTATAATAGAAATATTATAATCTCATGTCCAGCAATAGCTGCAGTTTTCATGGGTAATAAGTTAAGACTGCAGTGTTCATGTTATGTGAGTTTCAACCTAAGAGCCAATTGAACTGATGAATGTTTGTCCATGAAGAATTGATGGTTTACAACAAAGCTGTTAATTGGAAGCTGTTGATGGTGTTATACTGAAGTATGCCAACTACCTTTAACAATGAATCTACCCTTGAGTGAAAATATTTGATAATTCTATTTCAACCTGATTTGTTCAAACTCCTTGAGTCAAATTTTTGAGGCCTTTAGGTTATTATTTTATTGGAACAAGAGAGAAAAAACAATAAAAATGGAATTTGATGTGCTTTGACAGAATGTGACACTGAATTAGGCAAATAAACACCTGTCTGCAAGTTGAGTGGTCTGTCAACTCCTTTTAGAAGCAATCTGAGGCCCAGAATATCACAATGTAAAGTGCTGTGCAGTTCTTCAATGTTTCCCACAATAAAAAAGCCTGATTATTTAAGTAAAACAAATATATGGCTATGAAACTCAAAACCTCTCCAAGTCAAAACCTTCCTAAGTTGAATTTTTTGCTGGTCCCTTCAAATTTGACTTGGAAGTATAGTTCAACTGTATTCCCAAATTATGTGCAATATCCTTGGTTTTTTGTTGGAGTATTCAATGGCCATGCTGGATGGGTATATAGTGGTAATGATGATACTATTGTGGTAATCTCTGTAAGTTGAAGTACATGTAAGAGTACAGGTGCAATTCAACCCCAATCTGTTGCCAAACTAGGGTTGAATTGCAATAAGACACCATAAAATCAAGGGCAAACAGGACAAAAACACTAGAAAAGAGGCTGAAACAGGTTGAATTTTGGGAAAGAGGTCAAATTGCAAGTCAACTTCTGATCAAATTTGACCATCAAATTGTGGGATGGTGAAATTGCCAGAGGTCAAATTGCAAGGTACCATTTGTATTCTTGTGAGCAATGCAATTGCATTGCTTACAGCTGGTGTGTCAAGTGCAATTGGAATTTATGAATTTGCATTCTGTTGGTTTTCTAATTAATGTTGCTTGCTATTGATATAATGGTTTTTAGTGCAGTTTTTATTTTTGATGGGAGGCAAGAAAATTTTAATATGTTTATATGCAAGATGAACTGGAGTCAGGTCAACTCAGCAGTATAGGGCTATAACCAAGGTTTATGAAAAAATCCTTTAAACTGAGAATTCCACAACTGTCAAAAGGGAACATTAAAATATTCATAAATAGAGAGATACACTTTTCATGAACAACTTGGATTCTAACTCATGCTGTGTATGTCCTATGTTTGGGATAATTGTATGCTTTTCCTCCAAACCCTATTGTGGGTTGACTATATATGTTGCTCACAGCACATATAGGCCATGTCTCATGAAATTAAAAAGAACCAAACATAAACAATTACCCTTCATATCATTTGAATTGCCAAAATGTCTAATGCCATTACCTTGATGGGGGACGGTTGTTGATTTTATTTTTATTTTGGCAATGTGAGTACCGTATTCACTTGACCATGGGCCGCACTTTCCCTGCTGAAACTGTACTTGGTGTGGCCGTTATTTTTTGTATAGGCCGCTTTGTCTTGGAGGATTTGGCATGTATTCAATGTACAGTGGGTCCTTGAGCAACGAACCTCTATCATAATTAACCCACGTTTTACCGCCATTTTACTTTCAAAAACAAGTTGAAAAAACAACCTTTTTTAATTCAAAAATGTAAAAAATATGATTTCATAATAGATTCTCACATGAGAAGCACAAACTGGAATAAAAAGTTGAATTTAAAGGGAAATCAAAATCCTGAGGGAATTTGAATTTTCTTCCTGCTTTTAATTTTTCATTTTTCAAAAATAATTTTCAATTGAAACTGATTGCTGAATTTTCTTCAGTACCATGTGTGCACTTTAATTCTCAAATTTGAAAGGAAAAAGTGTCAAATGGGGGTATACATTTTTCAAAAAGTATCAAGGTGAGCATTTTACAGGAGTCTAATGGGAAATTTTGGACCAATTTTAATCTAACAACTTATGTTAATGGAAACAATTGAAAATTATTCAAATTTGTGTTCAATTCATATCTGAATTCAAAATTGGGTGTAGTTATTTTTGAAATATTGTGGTTTGAGATTCAAAAAAAAAAATTTGGTACTGTACCTGTCTTGCTTGAGTATAGGATTTTAGTGCTTTCCCCATTGAAAAACCCTGGTGTCCTTGTGAATTTGTTGGTTACAAATTTGTATTTGTATTCTTGTCTGTTGAATTTGTGATGCTCATTTTCTGTTTATTACCTTTATAATAATTTTCAATGAACTGGAACTGTTCAGGTTTTGTTGCTCAAGGCCCCCACCGCCATGTTGAATTTTATTTCCTTTGTTTTTCCTCTGTGTCGAAAGTTGACTGTTCGTGCAATTGATGACTTGCCTACTGTTATTTCAAAGTAAGGTAATCTTTGTCTCTTGAGATTTTGTTTGTGAAAAATCAACTTAATATGCGAATTATGTTTATTTTCCATGCATAGGCCGCAGCTTATTTTACGTGAACCAATTTTGTTGCCTCTTTGGTCGATTAAATGCGGTATTTTTCCTTGGTTTTAATGTTACGCGTGCGTGTGCAAGAAATTCTTTTGTCCATCATGGATCATTTATATTTTTGTTTCTTTGCAGCATCTAAGAATGAATTTCATCCGCATTTCGATGGACGAAAGTTGCTCTGTAATATTGACGACATTTTTTTTTGTGCCTCCTGTCGTTCGGTTTTTTTTGAAGAGAGTTTTATTTTATTTTGTGAAATCGGAGTTCGTTTTAACGTTTGAAAAATTCCAGTTGCATTGTGATCGTGTTTGTTCATGGGGGAAGGTTATTAAGTGTGGGGGTTTCTGTGTGGAACTGGAAAAAGTGATTCGCTCTATATATTACTATTTTTTTTTCCATCTCCTTGGTTCATGGATTCTTTGGCCCGAGGATATGTTTTTTGTTCAGGCGGTCCGATGAAATTCACGAGAAGAAAAAAAGAAGTTACTTTTCCTTGTTTTCATTCTTTTCCACCTGCTTTCCTGCCGATTTCGTTTTTTGTTACACCTCGGATGTTGAATCTTATTGTTTCCTCCCCGATAATTTTATGTTACTGTCAAATCTCGTTACAACGAAGCTGTTGGGTTCACCAGAAAACTTGTTTTGTATCAAGAAATTCGTTATAAAACAATTTAGATAACATTACAGTAAAATCTTGTTACAACAGACTTGTGGGATCTTCAGAAAAAGTTCGTTATACTGAAAAATTTGTTGTAGTGAGATTTTATTGTATTGATATTGGACAGGGACCTTGAAAGCAAATTTTTGTAACCATAGTAAGTTGTTAATATGAGATTTCTTGTAGTGAGATTCTACTCAATGAAAGGATTGGTTGAAAAAGCTTCATTATAAAAGAATCCTGGAACAAAAATAGAAGTAGAGTTACATGCAGTTATTGCTGGACATCAGGTGCCTAAAGAAATTTGTTGTAAGCATTATTTTGTCAAGATGACAAGATTCACTGCAATGAGATTATAATAGAAATATTATAATCTCATGTCCAGCAATAGCTGCAGTTTTCATGGGTAATAAGTTAAGACTGCAGTGTTCATGTTATGTGAGTTTCAACCTAAGAGCCAATTGAACTGATGAATGTTTGTCCATGAAGAATTGATGGTTTACAACAAAGCTGTTAATTGGAAGCTGTTGATGGTGTTATACTGAAGTATGCCAACTACCTTTAACAATGAATCTACCCTTGAGTGAAAATATTTGATAATTCTATTTCAACCTGATTTGTTCAAACTCCTTGAGTCAAATTTTTGAGGCCTTTAGGTTATTATTTTATTGGAACAAGAGAGAAAAAACAATAAAAATGGAATTTGATGTGCTTTGACAGAATGTGACACTGAATTAGGCAAATAAACACCTGTCTGCAAGTTGAGTGGTCTGTCAACTCCTTTTAGAAGCAATCTGAGGCCCAGAATATCACAATGTAAAGTGCTGTGCAGTTCTTCAATGTTTCCCACAATAAAAAAGCCTGATTATTTAAGTAAAACAAATATATGGCTATGAAACTCAAAACCTCTCCAAGTCAAAACCTTCCTAAGTTGAATTTTTTGCTGGTCCCTTCAAATTTGACTTGGAAGTATAGTTCAACTGTATTCCCAAATTATGTGCAATATCCTTGGTTTTTTGTTGGAGTATTCAATGGCCATGCTGGATGGGTATATAGTGGTAATGATGATACTATTGTGGTAATCTCTGTAAGTTGAAGTACATGTAAGAGTACAGGTGCAATTCAACCCCAATCTGTTGCCAAACTAGGGTTGAATTGCAATAAGACACCATAAAATCAAGGGCAAACAGGACAAAAACACTAGAAAAGAGGCTGAAACAGGTTGAATTTTGGGAAAGAGGTCAAATTGCAAGTCAACTTCTGATCAAATTTGACCATCAAATTGTGGGATGGTGAAATTGCCAGAGGTCAAATTGCAAGGTACCATTTGTATTCTTGTGAGCAATGCAATTGCATTGCTTACAGCTGGTGTGTCAAGTGCAATTGGAATTTATGAATTTGCATTCTGTTGGTTTTCTAATTAATTTTGCTTGCTATTGATATAATGGTTTTTAGTGCAGTTTTTATTTTTGATGGGAGGCAAGAAACACCCTGAGTCCCAAATGGGGCCCATGACATGAAATGGGTCAATGTCCAGCATTTTAATATGTTTATATGCAAGATGAACTGGAGTCAGGTCAACTCAGGAGTATAGGGCTATAACCAAGGTTTATGAAAAAATCCTTTAAACTGAGAATTCCACAACTGTCAAAAGGGAACATTAAAAGATTCATAAATAGAGAGATACACTTTTCATGAACAACAATAACATAAATCATCATATCTGTAAAAAAATTGAGCTTGGATTCTAACTCATGCTGTGTATGTCCTATGTTTGGGATAATTGCTACGAAAAGGAGGTTTGGGATAACACCCAACTGATATATACAACGAGTGTCGTGTATATCCGGTACAGAGTACTTTAATTTTTCTTGGTTTGTATTTGTTAATGGGAAGTATAGTAAACTTAACGGTACAAAACATTTAACAAAGATAAAACTTTCATGACATATTCCATAAGAATATATGAAGCAGGACCTGAATCACCCTCATGAAAGGATTTACTCAAAATTACAAACACTGATGGAATATTAGCTGAATCACTCCTTGTCATCAACCTTCTGGAAACTTTCCACCAAAATGGACCTGAAGCTGAATCAAGAAGAAAAACATTCATTCTCACCCAAAGCAGTGATATTTGAGATCTTGCGCACTGTGAACATAACTTGTGCAATAAGAGTTTATGAGGTTCAAACCTCAGGCCACAAATGGCTGGTTGTGTTTTAACAATCTTTTCAACTAAATCAATTTTCTTGTCACTGAGGTGTCAGGGACTCCCAGCACCATATAAGGAAAGATTTTATTTTTGCCATCTTTTTTTCTGGATATGAATTCAAACTTGGCCTTTATCAGGTGCCTTATATGGGCTAATTTTTTTGCCCAACCTGTTCTGAATACCAATTAGAAAAAGGGTTCAATTTCTTTGTGCATCATTTGAGAGGACCTTTTTCACATTGCAAAGGATTTGAAAAATACTCAAGTTTGAGAAACAATTTGTTATGAGTATCATGACATTATTTTTTAAAGTTGTAACTATAAACTGTACACTTTTGTGTCTGTGCTGTTTCTGTCAGGGCACTTGGAATATTTGGTCCAAATTTATAATTCAATATTTTGTCATCTATTTTTGCCTGGTTATCAGCAAAGCCTGGAAATATTTGAATAAATTCTCTGACTTCCTGAGACGATTTATGAAATATTAGCCAGTTATTTCACAATCCTTGATGTATGCAGCACAGCAAAAGATAATGAATGTCAGAAATTCCTCAGACATCAGGCAGAAAAAAGTGTCAATGCAAACCACCGCTTGTCCATCTGTTGGCCATTGAATGAGTCCATCGCGTGACTCGGATAATGTTAGTTTCAGTATCCGGTATGTATTTTTAGATTGCGTCACAAAAGGGGTTCTCCCACAATTTCTATCATTTTAATGTTTTTAGCAGCAGTGGTTTTATGTGAATCTCTAAATTTTTCTCACAAAAAATATTTGATTGCGCCTTATAAAAAACTCAGACAATCAGAAGCTCCTGAATAAATTCAAACAAACTTTTTTTAAACAGTAAAACAATATTTGTATACAATACTTTAATCAATTATTTATAATGAATGAAAAATATTATTTTAAAATTTTGGCATCTCCTGAATATTTTTACTTGGGGCATTGAAGAAAAATCCCAAATTCTATGCTATTAAAATGTATAAGGTTGAAATAAGATAAAATCAAAATGAAAATTACATGGGGATTTTCAACTCAAATTTTTGTAAAATTTTCGATTCATCGCAGCTCAAAAAATAAATCACACAAATTCTCCTGGCTCACCCTGTATTTATATTATTTTTCACATGACTTACTTTAATTAAACTTAGACCCATTTCAAAAATATGAAAAAACCAGGAATAATTCGCAAAAAAATTTAATAAATCCAGCGCTTTCTAAAAAAAAAATTTGTTTGCTTCGATTTCCAGATCAGAGTTGGATTTCGACATCGAGTTCTGCTGGTTTCTCCAATATTTTCCTTGTGCGGAAATTGCGCATGTTCTCCGCAGAAAACTGCTGCAATTTCGTTGCTGGCCAAAATACTAATGACTTTTTTTTTATTCATTTCCAATGCAAATTTATTCCTTCCCCTTTTATTGGCGAGTTCAATACCGCGTTTTTTTTTCATTCTCGCGAGAGGAAAATGCTGGATTTGTTGCAATCGGGGTCTTTGTGCAAAAAAAAAAAAATTGGCTCAGATTATTGCTAGCGAACTGTGACCGACGTTGAAAAAAGAAAATTCAAGATTCGTAATTTCCAGGAGAAAAAAATGTTTTTCAGCACAAGACGCAAATGCTTTCCGCAGCAGTTAAATATGAAAAAATAGTGCAAAATTTTATTTAAATCCGAACGTTGAACTGCAATTTGCAGTGTTTCGACAGCAGACAATCCGTGCTTATATACTTGAAAAAAAAACTGGTTTCATTATCAAAGAGGAAATAAGTTGACTTTGTGTGGATGAGAAGAATGAAAATGATGAGTCTTTTCATTTTTCTTAGCATTAACCCAGTAACTGCCACATTTCCCACACAACAAATCATTTTGAAGTTAAATTTAGTCAAATATTTAAAATATTAACTATAGAGATCCCCTGGTTGGTGCAAAAAATGTACACCTATTTTGATCAATAAAACAAACAAAAATAAAGCAAAATGTGCCAAAATATTCAGATCTGACCAAGTATAAATCTTTGAACTTAGCTGCAGTGTATAGAAAGTCATTTTCTTGAAGTCCAAAAATCATGATCCAATTTTCTAACAGAATCTTTGAGTTTGTTAATCAAACATCAGTGAGACCTCAAGATGTGGATCTAATTGGTGCATCAATAGTGTCTCAAAGTTGAGTCTTGTTTTCCCTTGGACTCACATTATATAATGTTTAATCAGTGCTGTATGGCAGACATATTCATCAGAATTCCATGAAAAAAAAATATTGAAAAAAGTCTGCCACTTGAAACTGATTCAATTAATATCTTTCAATTAAATAACAACATGTTGAGCATTCATTACTGTACTGCTGTAAAGTATATTGAAATTTTTGCATTCTTTAAAAAAAAAAATATTAGTCAAAAATAGAGGAGAAAGTCCCTCTATGCTGGAGGTAAATTTTTTCAAAGAGTTAAATGCATTGTAAAATGATTAGAGAAGTGCCAAAGAACTTTTCTTAGGGTTGGAAATATCTGTTTCTTATGTACTTTGGCCTGAAATGTATTTGCAATTTTAGCTCACAATGTATGCATGTTGAGTCAGTGTCCTCATGTTGGGCCTTTTTATTGAATTTTTTATTGGAAAGTAAGTGTCCACAGGTC